CACGTGTCCAGTTAAAACTGGAAAAAAAGAAGCAATCATCCGCTTAGAGCACTTTGCACGCCCGCCACTTTGGTTGGTTTCGGCTTGTCTCGAAAGATCTATTCGCTCGATTGCTGCTTTGTTTTGGGATCGTAACTATAAATCTAAAAATATAGATGAATATGCTATAGGCGAAAAACATGACGCGTCGCGACGCTTCGACTTTGCGCCAGTGTGACTTGAGCCTTAAAGTCGTAGAAAATCATACTAGGAAAATTTTCACGAGTCAAAAACAAGTGACAATCAGATGAAACAAACTGTAGTGTGTTGTAATTACTTTTTAAATATTGTTTATGTAAGTGGCCAGTTCCGGAAACTTATAGTACGCCCTATGTGTAGTTTTCGCATAATTTTTTGTATAATTTTTGCATTTGTGGACCGATTTTGATGATTTCTTTTTGTTGGAAAGAGGGTACCTCCATAGTGGTTCCATTTAATTTTGAAGAAAATATTCCACCTCTAAGGATGGCTGTTCACACATGAAGATTCATTTTTACAAATAGCGCCTAAACTTTTATATAAGGAGCAATTATTTTAATGGTTGATTTTGCTTTGCTCCATTGGAAGGCGTTTTTCTCTCGGATTTTTATTATCTTAGATTTACATCTACCGTTCGTAGAATTACATCTACCGTTCGTAGAATTACTTCTACGAACTTTTGAGGTCGGTTTTTTTAGTGCTCTGTACTGAGATTATCAAAATACTTACTTAGTACTGGTACTGGTACTTGAGCTGTATCTCATGTTAAATTAGGTTTATCAATGCGTCATATTATGTATATATAAAAAGGTCCATTATATATGACTCATTAGTCACGCCAATAATATGGTGAGAATTGGGGTGATATTTAACAAAACCAAATTATGTATCTCAACCAGGTTTGAATCCCATTGAAACGGTCACGGAACTTCACGTGGCACACGTAGTCGACGTAGACCTCGGTGGTGCGCCGGGCAGCGCCGGCGTGAACGTGCGACGAGGTCGCGTCACCGACATGCGGGACGAACACGTGCTACAGCCGCTACACGTCACCGCCTCAGCACTAGCTCTCGCCACAGAGACCGTGCGCGCCATCCTCAAAATAGACGATATTGTGAGTTTCAATAAAACATGTTTCTAGTATATATTTTCGCTTATTCCCAGTCGTCACCACTGGCTTTGTTCCCATTGGTGACAAACGGGATTAAAAAATGTCAGTTGTTGCAGGGATTTCCACTGGCGACAAATGGATTTTAAAATAACAGTGGTAACAAATGGAATAAAAAAAAAACCAGTTAATGTTTGTTTATTGCAGCCATCGAGTTTAACGATAAAAATACAGATCTTATTAAAAAAAAGATCACCGATGTTTAAGACTGAATTTTTTACTAACATCTCTATTTTTATCATTCTATTTTCATTCAACTCGAATTTCATTTTATTTCCTTCGATGGCGGCAATAAACAAACATTAATTGGGATTTTTAATTCCATTTGTTACCACTGGTAACTACTGCGATATTAATTCCATTTGTCGCCAATGGCAACAACAGATCTTTTTATCCCATTTGTCACCACCTGGTAACATTATGGGTCTTTTTCCCATTTGTCGCTAATGGGAACAAAGCCAGTGGTGACGACTGGGAATAAGCGTATATTTTTGTCTAGCAATAACGTGAGGCATACCTTATGTTACAATGTTATTATATCAATAACAATTCTTTTTGTTGCAGGTTAACACACTAAACTAACAGCTGGATTATGTCACGAAGTATTAATTTAATTTAGCATTGCTAGTGGAAGGAAAGTTATTGTTCTTCATGTTTTGTTTTATGTCAGAATGCTTATATACTGCGAATATTCTAATAATAGTGAAGCTAGTACTTTTCTCAAATGTTTATGAGGAAATTAAACAATTAATCTGTAGCTTTGATTCATAGCGTTTTTAGAAATCTATTATTTTAATTCTTCTACAGCAGGATTGCAATGAAAGATGTGAATGCATTTTCCCAATTTATTTACTTACTTAGTTTTTAAAATAAGTTTTTAAAATAAACTGATAATTAATAACATTCAACTGTTTCATTTAATTATCGCTGATAAGGATGTATTTGATTGGCTGCTTTGATGTTAGTCTTAATTTGGGATGGAGCTTTAGGCATGGTAGGTGCCTGTGGTCCAAGTTGGGATGGTGTAGGTCCTCTGGGACCCATTCCTGGTGCACCGACGCCTCCTACACCTGGTGGCACTATTGAAGGCATGCCAGGTCGGAGTCCTTTGCCGGTTCCAACAGCCGTTACCAAAGCATGTGTATCTGCAATACTATGTGTTGGCTGCATTCCTGATAAAACAAAATACACAATGTATGAAGAGAAATACAAGTCTAAATTGCATGCTTACTTTTTGTATACCTGCAGAACGCATAGATTCTCCTTCCCAATCTTCACGTCCCTTTGATATAATCTCCCATACATGGCTAACAACCTTAGTAAATTGACCTACTTGTTTCTGCAACAAATGTAAAATATTCAATAATAGTCCATATGAACAGGCATAGACAAAACAAGTTAAGCTGTTACTCATTATTTTAGCTAACTGCCAACAATCTTAATTATCTTCCATGCCTAATAACAGATTTGCTCGATATTTTTGGCGATAGACACGTGTGAGTGAATAAAATGAATAAATGTGTAATGCAACAAATGATCAACTTCATATTTTTTTTATAATTATTAATACAAAGATCACACACTCAGAAAATATTCCTTCGATCCGGCCAGATTCGAACAGACGTTTTCTAGCTTACCGTGGCAGACGTTATACCGACTAAGCCACGGAACGAACCAGCGGACCTCACGAATTTTTCTATGTGCTTGCACCGCGTCTTTGTATTTGGTTTCTCAACGACGTTTTAGTCGTAGCGCCATCTATGAGAAATCTATGAAAGATTTATCACCCAGTTAGTACCTTTACAGCTACCAGTCCTGGCGACAGATGTCGCCATTCATTGTATTTTAAGTTTTTATTGAATTGATACTCAATTACTTTTTGTGAAATTACTCCACTAGTTTGTTATAATTATTAATACAAAGATCGGACACACGGAAAAAAAATATTTTTTTGATACATTTTTCATAGATTTCTCATAGACGTCGCTACGACTAAAGAGACGTTGGAAAACCAAATACAAAGACACGACGCAAACACATAGAAAAATTCGTGAGGTCCGCTGGTTCGTTCCGTGGCTTGGTATAGCGTCTGGCACGGTAAGCTAGAAGACGTCGGTTCGAATCCGGCCGGATCGAAGGAATTTTTTCTGAGTGTTTGATCTTTGTATTAATAATTATAACAAACTAGTGGAGTAATTTCACAAAAAAAAATTGAATATCAATTCAATAAAAATTCATATTTTTTGTCAATCAACATGAATGATCAGACTAAAAACCAAGGAAATGTGTAAGTAATAGACAATCGACAGCGCGTTTTTAACAAATTACTTTATTTTAGCCTTGATATTTCTCGATCGCTAACATGTGACAGTAATACAATAAGCATACACAAATTTCTTATGAAAGACAAATTATACCTGTGCTGTTTCATAGCTAAGGGTGCTAGCTTTATGATTAAACTGTTGCAGTCTTTGTTCAGCCTGAGGTTCTGGCTTAGTCCTCAACAAATCTGGGACTAAGTCGTGTGTACATGCTGGCACTCGCCCTTCAGTCATCCGCGCTAGCGACTCATCACGTTCACATCCTAATTGAAGAGGTAAAACTACTTGTGATCGTAGTGGCGACGCTAACTCTGCCTGTAGTATTTTACTAAGTCCAGTAAGCTAAAAAACAGTAGACAAACTCGTAAATATACGTTGTTGACTGCAGCAATAGACAAAATTTTCCAGGAGAGCCAAAAAACACAAATCAAAGTTGCCCTTCAACAATTTTCCATTGAATGAAAAAAAAGTAATAGTATTAAGTAAGGTATCAATCCACAAATATATTGATGTCACAAAAATGGTTATTATTCATATGTATATGTATAATACATATTTTATACCCCTTACTAACTTTGAATATTTATTTACATAAGTTACTGTAGCAGCCAGAATCAAAATAATGTATGTGCATTTGTTAGGTACCTATTTGGTTTAGTTATTGCACAAGAAAATTTAGAATAAAATTTGATTTTGTTTGACTAATTATGTTAGTAAAACAACAGCTAAGATTTTCAGTATCAGTAAAGTTTATTATCCATGATGGAAAAAATCAATGGTACACAAAGGGGGAGGTACCTTAAATGATTGTAGTAGTTAGGTTTCATCCTTTTACTTTTCTTAATGTGAATAACTGCTTTTACATATTTTTGAAGCTTGTCTGAGCCGGGAATTGCACTTATTCCCAGTTGTCACCACTGGCTTTGTTCCTACTGGTGACAAATGGGGACAAAAACCCCATATGTTACCAGGTGGTGACAATGGAGATAAAAAGTCTCAGTTGTTACCTCTGGTGACATCCAGTAGCGACAAATGGGAAAAAAATCCCATATGTTACGAGGTGGTGACAATCGGCATAAAAAAGTCTCAGTTGTTAGCCGTGGCGACAAACGGGATAAAAAGATTTGTTGTTGCCACTGGCGGCAAATGCAATTTAAAATATCTCAGTACATTGCCAGTGGTAAAAAAAACAAATGGAATAAAAAATTCCAATTAATGTAAGTTTATTGCCGCCATCAAAAGGGAATAAAATAAAATTCGAGTTTAATGATAAAAAGATAGATCTTATTAACTCAAATTTAATTTCTTTTAAGTAAAATTAGCTATCTTACACATTCACAGCATTTTCCCTTCATGTCCCATTGATGTTTTCAACCCTCAGGGTTGCAAGAGTTTGCAAATTGTTTTAAATTTTTTTTATATTTTTTTGATTGACATGGGATTTGCTAATGTTTTGGTTTTTTGTTTTACGTGTTAAATTCTTGTCAGTTGAATTTGAGAATTAGCGATAAAAAAAGCTTTGAAAGCTAGGAAATCTTTATCAATCATACAGTCCACTAGTTTTGTGTCCTTCACCTGTATATATAAATTGTTTTGTAAAACAGCTTGAGGGCACTCGCCGCTCCATTTGCCAATTCAAATACCTAGTATAGTGCTTTCACTGCTTTAAAACTTAGCAAATTTCAAATACTTACTATGTTTTGAATTGGTCCAACGTGATTTACTAGGTTTTTGACTGATCCCGAAGCAAACTAGATGTGCCTTACTAGGTTTTAAGGTTTCTAAATCTCTGGTAAATTCTAGGATTTTAAAGTGGCTGTCACTTTTGGTGGCAGTTAGGTGAGTAATTGGACATAGTTAAACAATAAGGATTCAATGCACATCCAGTCACTTTCAAGATGTAGCAGTTTAAAGTTTAAAATTGTTTTTCGCTCTTGTTTTATTTTCAAAACTTATAATGTCAAGTAACTCCCGAGATATTTATTTATGTTTATATGTTGGATTTTTTTTGCTAATCTAAGAGGTTAGACATTAGGAATCGTTTGGTACATGTAACTCATTATTTGATAATTTTGTGGATTGGGTCCTTTTTGCTTAACTATGTCCAATTACTCTGGGAGTAGTAGGATTCCGTTAAATTTTTTTTTATTTGTCCCTTATTAAGTTTTGCTCTAGGATAGCCGAGCTGTAGGTTGATAAGTGCATAAAGACACTGTTTCTGGTTTTGTTTTCTCTCTAATGGATTCAAAAATATACGGTTATAACTTACATGTCCGGATAAAATAGCATAATTATCAAGAAATGTTGGCCAATTTATTGTTTCGTATTCAGTCTCGAGTTTCGTAATAAGGGCTTGTATGGCCGTTTTAAGATCGATCACTCTGTTCAAAATTGCTTGAAGTGTGGCCTCTAAATGCTTTTCTTCCCTCTGCATCTTTATTTCCCAATTATTTGTAAAACAAGATAGATAAAACAATGATGTTGAATATATATCATAGACAATTGACATTGACGTATCAAGTTTTTAATTGGAACCTAACCATAAAAAATGGAGTTTCTTTTTGGCTTACCAGCAACTATTATATGTACGTACACAC